CTCATCCTAGTAAGAATGCTGCAATCTTGCACATAACAGAAGAAGCAACACACAAAACCAACTCTGATCAGTAACAGGTAGGACAGCCAGAACACTTTATCCCAAAGCTCTGATATAGTTATTTCTGTCATGCATCAAGTTGACCTACCAGTTATATCTTAAAGTATAAAAATCCCATCTCCACTTCATAGTAAATTAATGCTAAGTAACGTTGGATAGTTCTCCTAAGACATCATCATTCGTGCAAAACTACTCCTAGAAATTTGGGCATGGTGCCCTGCCATACCTCAAATCGCTGTTTTCACAAGACAAATTTTAACAATCAGCATCATATACTAATATTCTGTAATTTCCACTGTAAGAGATTCCAATGAACGTAACAAACATAAAACCAAAAAAACTCACCTTACAACCAAATTATGAACCACGATCATTCTCTGCTCACAAAACTGTGCTGGTATGTGCCATTGCAAAGACAATTTATTTAATTAGCAACAGCACAAATATTACATGATGCAACCTCAAAAGAAGGAGGGGAAAAAATTGCATTTACTGGAGAATGATGCCAGCTTAAATTTCCCATTATTCAGCCTGTAATTGTGCTGGAAAACTATAAGGTGATGATTTGTGACAACAAAAATAAACAAAACAAAATGTTATGCTCTCTCTATCTCACTGACATGGAAAGCTGTTGGTTTTTTTTATTTACTTTATGACTAAGTAATTGTCAAGAAAAAAAAAGAAGGTATTTTTATTTAGTCTAGAAGTGCAACAATATTTTTAACCCTTTAAACGAAATCTAAGCTAAAACATCTTGGCCAGAAAGCTATCACAGTATCAACTGTTTGAACACAGTAGCAACTGTTTGAACCTGATGACAAGGATGACAAACCTCCTCTCTTACCTAGACAGGGAAGGCTGTAATAGGACTTTATTAATTTATCTAAGTCATACTTCTACATGTTCCTGTATACTGAGCATCCTACTTCTAGTAGCAGCCAAAAATTAATGTCTAAAAGAGGGTATAAAATCAGGGCAAGTATATAGGGCAAGCATATAGACAAGTATATATATACACTACCCAGTCTCCATTAATCTTATCTCAGGTGATGAAGTAAAACATTTCAGTCACCATTCTGCTTCATCATCTAATATACAAGTGCTCACTAATTTCAGCTCCCCCTGAACAATCTATCAGTAAAAAGAGAGGGCAAAAGATTCTACTTTTCTGTTGCCTTTGAAAAACCAGAGTCTGAAAATAGTTATTTTTCAGCAAAGGTCAAAGCTGATATTTGGAATCCCTACTCTTAAGCAAAGTATTATACTCCCCTAAGATCACAAATTTGTCCTATAGCCTAAAATACCATCAGAAAACACATAAGCATGTTTGCTATCATTGTGTTGCTTCACACAGGTACCTGAGCCATCAACAAGCTAGTGAAAGCAGCATATCCTATTGAGCTACTGGTGCTACTTCCTTTAGCACTCATATATTCCCAGAAGAGATCTCGTCCAAATCTTAGCTTGTGAAATGTGACAGAATCAGAGTGCACAGAATTGCAGGTCTCTAGGGTCACATTCCACATGCTCCAAATGTAATACTTCTCAATGCCTGTGTGCCTACTACAACCTATTTCACACTTATTTCTGCCCACATCAACTGAACACTGTGCTGTGGCTGATAAACAAGACCAGATTACACTTCACACTCAAAACTTCTAAGATACCATTTCTACAACAGACATTGAAAATACAACATTCAACTAATGCACAGAAGAGCAAGGAAGGAACACATATTTAAAGAAATAAAACCCATCACATATTACCATCATCTTCTTAGCACAGTCTATTAGGTAACTTGTCAGTATTAAGTAAATTTTTTCTCATCTTCTCTTCCTCCCCATAGAGAAAACAACTAACAGATTTCAGACACTAATGGTATGTAGACAACCCTTAAAACACCTAGAGAAACAAATCATAACCTGCTTTTTCATTGTGAAGAGCTCTCAAATTTGTCTTGTATGTCTGTGCCTTTGCACAATAATAGCTTCTTATATTGCAAATATTATGGATCTGATACACAAAGTATTTAATCAGAAAAAGTGTAGTGCTATGAAAATCATACATTTGTAGCCCTCATCTCATTGTTTAACTTCTAGATGCTCCCTGCCACTGTTTTTTCCTCAAACAATTCCCTGTCTCTCTTCAAACATAGATCTTTCTTCGCATTTGTAAAGAAAGTAAGGAACTCCCTAGCAGCATATGAGGAAAACACAGGACACCTGTTACCTTGGCGGCCTTCATCATTGGTAAACAGGCCAGTATCACTGCTGCTGCAAACACTGCTGGTTTCACTGGAACAAAAACAGAGAAAAAATATGGTTACAATTGCAACAGGTACAATACAGAAACCATTCTACTACATTTTACTAGCTTCTGCAAGACCAAAATGCTTTACATGTCTCACAGAAACTGAATTTCAGATACATGACTGACGCTAGAACAGAACTTAACTGCTTTCCATTAAATCTTATCAATGCTGCATCACTTGAAAAAAAGTAGAATCCTGTACCTAGTTTAGTTCTAAGTTATCAAGAAGTAATTAATAAAACAGCATTTGCCTCAGGTACTAGAATTAATAACCTAACTATGGCATCATCTGGAATACTCACCAGGAAATTAAACAGTTAAAAATGCTGTCCTTGGGTCACTTAACTGAAAACCCTCCTAAGTTTTCTATTTCAGATTCCTTTTCCTCAAAACTGTTACACTGTCACACAAACAGCCTTCTCCTCCCACAACTTTTATTTTATGTGGAGTAAAGAGCAGCTGTGACATTTACAAGTCTCCAGCTAAATACCTCAGCATAGCATGACTTGCTGCTGCTAAATGCAACTTTGTCATAGCATGCTTTGCCTTTACTGAAGTAGTTAAAGATTTAATTCTTGAACAAAATAATAGAGCTAGAAATTAATGTGTAGAAAGCCATTAATTGACTTGCAAAGCTAGACGAATATTTGTAGCAGAAGTACATGCTCATGTCAGTCCCAAGCATCTGAAGGCTTTAATGCTGACTTGAACTCCTTCCTCGGACACTTCAGGCAGTACTTCCTCCGATTTAGCTATGAGATACTAGGACAAGCAAAAACTACTTACTGCCTACTCCCTGAACACAAAGACCTTAGATGTGAACATCAAGTGTGAGTCAGCACTAGAATCAGTCAGGGAAGGCTGTTTCCAAGTATCTCTGGATGCCTCTTTTCCAAGGAAACCGGATGATACCGGAAACCCCTTGATTTACAAGGCTGAATAATGAAACCACAAAATATGTCACTCCAAAGAACTGCAGGCACAGAATAAAACTCTATTTTGTGAGTATATTGTTCTTAGAAAATGCACTCTAAAGTACAGCCAAGTCAACTCATCATGCTGGATATCTAAAATGCTGCATCTTCATCATTGTATGAAGGCCATTTATACTTAAAGGATAAACAATCTGTACCTAGCATTCTCACCTTCCAGCATGCAAGTTAATATCAAATTCCAAATTAATCCATTACAAAGCTTGGCCATGCATTCATCCTCCCACATATATACCACAGCAATTAAGGCCAAGGACTGAGAAGCATGAATTAATTGTTTCATCCCAAACTCTCCTACCAACAGACTGTATGACCCTGGGCCAATCTCCTAGCGTGCTTGCTTTCCCTTTTGATAGCTTGGATAAACAATCCTCACAAGCTGCAGATGTGAGGACTGAGTGACTGCTTCATAAGGTTTTTAACATCCTCAGAGAAAGGTGCCTGAGAAAGGAAAAAGCATTGACAAGCATCCAGGTGATATTAACAGTACTTTAAGCATTCTGTTGTACTTAGAGCTCTTTAGTTCCTTACAGATAAGTATCACTGCTAGTGCTTTTACAGGAACAAACTTTCAGGGATTTCACCCTCTTCAGTACCCCTTTTACACTCAGGGCTGAACAAAAACTAGACTTCTATGCAGGCCTTTCTGCAGGTCCAGTAAGCACTGATTAATGACCTCCACTTGCAAAGGAGGCTACTTACCTTAACCATGAAATAATGAATGCTATTGATCCAACAAGCTACTGCTATAGAGTGTTATTGATCACCCAATCTTTGGTTAAAATGGTTCTCATTTAGCAATTTCACTGTTGCAAACACCTGAAGCAAAGCATGCTTATAATTAAATAGTTTGGGGGAGTTAAACTGAGAGGTGATGGACAGAGATCTCAGGTTTCCCCCATTTATTCTTTTGCCTGAGCTATTGTTTGTGTCAGGAGGGATATTGATTTTCTATAAAAATAAGAAAACAAGAGGCACCGAGGGGCTGCAGAAGGTCAGGCTGGGCTGGAGAAGGAGGGGAAGCGGAACACTCTGTCTTTGTCACTTTCCTTCCAAGAGAGGAATATATATTTTTTTTTTCAATGGAGATACTGGCCTCCAATTCATCAGTTTAGCCAGACTCATGAATACAGTTGCAGACTGTCATCAAAGCAGCTCCCTTCTAAAGGGTAAAGCAACTTAACTGAACATTCAGGATGAGTGATGCTCACATTCTCAGGCCAGAACATTGTACTGGTTTTGGCTGGCACAGAGTTAAATTTTTCTCATAGTAGCACTTTGGTTCTGTGTTCTGGATTTGTGACCAGTTTGATAGCACAGGGATGTTTTAGTTATTGCTGAGCAGTGCTTACATGGTGCCAAGGCTTTCTCACACTGTCCTGCCAGCGAGCAGGCTGGAGATGCACAAGAAGCTGGGAGAGTACACAGGGTGGACAACTGACCCTGGCTGACCACAGTGATATTCTACATCATATAATGTCATGCTTAGCAATATAAGCTAGGAAAAAGAAGAATGAAGCCAGGGACATTTGGAGTTGTGATGTTTGTGTTCCCAAACAATGTTACAAATGATGGGAGTTCTGCATTCCTGAAGATGGTTGAACACCTGCTTACTGATAGGAAGTCGTGAATTCCTTATTTTGCTTTGCTTGCACACATAGCTTTTGCTTTACCTACTAAACCAACTTTACCTAAAGCTGAGATTTTTCTCATTTTACTCTTCCATTTTTCTCCTTCATCCCTGCAGGGGAGTGAGCAGGGGGCTTTATCGGAGTTGAGCTGCCTATCCAGGTTAAACCACAACAAACACATCAGCATTAAGCCAGTGAAATCTCATAGTATTGGCAGGTCAGTAGAATCCCAGGTTTGAAAAAGTCACAGTAAGAGTTTTGGTACTTGAAAACAGATGAGACCAACTGCATATTTTTCACAAGTAAACACACTACTCAAAGTGATTTTTAGACAGCTCCTGTACTATGGTTTGTTCTGCCTTCAAACCAAACTGAGACCATTCTGGAAGTACTCAGTTTAGAGCTAAAGAGAAAAAATTTCAACACTCAATGTATAATTTGCCTTGTTTTATTATGGCTGCAGGGAATCTCAAAACATTTAGGGGCAGAAAGGCATATTACTTCTAACAGTCTTAGCAGCTGTCACCTTTGTACAAATATACAAATGACTGCTTAAACTACAACCACTTGTTTCCTTTGTTGTTTCCACAGGTATTTATAGATCAGGCACTGGGTTGTGTCATTACCCAATTTAAAACCATCATCATTTTCTTATCGTGTTCCTCCACATCCATCCTTCTCTCAATTTATGTTCACCTTTTGCCATGTTTGGCAAACAATTTCAAAGATTTAATTATATGCACACCTGAATCACAATACTGTAGCTCATCTTCCTCCAGGAAAGGACTGGGCATAGTCCGACAAGCAAACTAGAAAAAAACCCATTACTGAGACTTTTTCAATGAATGGGAGTTTATCAACTGAATAAACAGGTCTTTGACCTGACTTTGAATAAGAAACCTTCTAGAAAGCAGAGAAAATATGGAATATTTTAGCATTTACAGATTCATTCCTGCTTAACAAACCAAAGCAATTGTCAGTTTAGGAGAGGAAAATGAAGGTTAAAAAAATCCATTCTGAATACAGAACTTAGTTTGCCTGAAAACCCATTTTGTTTTGTCATGTTCCATACTGTTAAAGGAGTGAACAGTAGTGGAAACAGTTCAGTATGAAAGTTTTGTATATCACCAGACCACCACAGATTGCTTACAAGTCCCACAAGCAGCATCAGTCACCTTTCATCCCATCAGCTTGTGATGACAACCACACCATTTGCTCTCCCAGGCATTCAATTTTCTTTTCCCTTCCTCAGGATATGCCCTTGTCATACATCTGTGAAAAGTACTTCTCTTACTGTACCAGAAAAACCAGCTAGAGCACAGTGGGAGTGAGGCAAACACAGCCAGTTTCACTGTGCTGCTATATTTAGAGCAACAGAGACCAAAGCATGATCCTTCACTGCTGTGAGGGATACTCCACAGTGAAGAGGGCTGTATGTATTACTCCCTCCAACTGTGGCCCTCCCTAGTGAGTCACAGCATAGATCACACATGTGGTGTTGGAGAGGTCAAATATTCCAAGCACCAGCTTTCCAGAGAGAATCCCAAGGATTTGGCAGCAGATGGTAAGTGTCATTTGATGCATACACTTGCACAATAATTAGTCTGAGAGCGAAGGACAACTGAGACAGAACAAAGCCATCTCCCAGCATGGTCCTCAAGTAACAGTCTGGACGGAACTCTTTATTTACTCTTTCCAAGGCTGGCACAAATAAAGGCTGGATGAAAGCCTGCTGGTTTAAGTTCAAGTTTGACACGATGGAACAGATTCTGACTAGTATTAAAAAAAAAAACCAACTTCAACTTAGGGAACACTGTCCATCACTGCCACATCTAGTAAGGGTATCTCTCAGTCCATCACCACTGACATGCACTATTCAGGAGCTACTTAGCACACTTCTTTTCCTGGACTACTAGCAAACAGCTCTCAGAAGATACTTTAACAACTAGCAACTAAAGGTTTCTATCCACAGGTTTCTTATAAAGCCCCACTTCACACCGACTTTTTAGCAACAACAGCCACTTCTAAAAGAAAAAGTGACAACACTGTTAGAGTTACATGCTACAAATCACAACTGACCCACTAAAAATGCAATAGTGGTTCCCTGGCCCCAGTGAGGACTCAACATAACCTAAGCTTTTCACAGGATCCTAGAAAACGCCACTGAGAAATTTGCGACTCCTGGTATTATCCACAAAGCTGTAAAAATGAAGTGCCACCTGTTCACTCTGACAAACTGCAGGAACTAGACTGTCACAAAGCTTAATTGAACCTCAACACATGAACAATCATACTGTATCAAAGAGTTACACTTTCCAAATCCACTCTCCTCTGATAGTGACTATTACATTGCTTCAGAAAAGAACACGAGAACGTGACAAACACAGACTTCTCTGTATGTTCCTCTAGCTTTTAGAAGCCAGCAGCTTAAGGACTTCCTGAGCGGGGTATTTCCTCTGGGCTGTAATGTTTAATAGCCCTGATATGTCTATGCTCCACATCTGTCTTTTGAATGTATTTAAATTTTGACCTCTATAGTGTCCTGCAGTAGAGAGTTCCAGACTTAATGTTGTTGTTTGTTTTAAATGTCTTCTCAGTGTCTGCTGTTCTTACACAACAATAATTAGAAAATCAGCAATCACATTTGTTTTTTGTATGCCATTCATTAAGAAATTTCCTCCATTTAGTTCTCAGCAGTTGCCTCTTTTCTAACCTAAAAAATCTCTTCCGACAGAAGCAGTTTTATGATCCCAAACCTTAGACAGAGATAATAAAAGTCACAGTTGGGGAAAAAATTCCCAAGGGCAATGCAAATTTAGACCATGGCATTTACATGTCTCATATTAATCCCTTGTATGTGATTCTGCCACAAATTCATCAAAGTTCTCCAAAACTGGACATCAAGACATCAGACTCCACTGTTTGCACAGGCTTATCCTGTAAGTAACATAAGTTCCCCTCAACTTCTTCATTGTCTCACCGTATTCTCCCCATAGCTAGGCTTTGACGATGAGATCAAGACCAGAAATGTAGAACAACAACCAAGATTAGATTGAGGTTCACACAGTCCCTGCACAGAGGGCCAGCAGTAATGATGGGTGATCTGATCTGTTATCTACTACTTCTTATAGTAAATGCTGAAAATAAGAAATTGAGATCAGTTTGTACCAATCATGCAATACAAGTGCCAGCTGGGGGCTTGCTCCCCAAACCATAGGCCACAAGTATGCCACGTTGTAGCTGCAAGGCCACTGACATTTCAGAGAACTCTTTGTGTAACAGGAGGCATAAACCTACCAGCTTGCCAACTTTTCAAGGAAGCCTTCTGGGTCATCATACAATACTGACAGGAAAGACTTTGAAAAAATCTACAGTTTAGAAGCAGCTGAGGTATTTCTCAGAGATATTTCTCATCTTCACAAAGTGAGCAGCATTGAATAATTTTAAGAGCTTCAAAAACTAAGGCACAGCATTTATAAGCAGCTGCAAGCAAGGCAGCCATCTGACTAGCACAGGGAAGAAACTGAGATCTCACCATTCCGACATGTTTTCATCTGAACCCTGTTTCTGATCATCGGCTTCACACTCCATCCGCTCCTTCCTTCCCCCGTTGCTGAGGAAGGGCCTGTTCTCTCCTGAGTCGCAAAGGCCATGACTGGATGATGTCCAAGGGGCATTCTCTTTCCAGCGTGAAAGACGCTGTTTCTTGGCTGACTTGAACCTGCAGCCCCTCTCATAGTTCCACTCTGACACCCTGAGCTTTTGCTGGAGACTGGCAGCTACCTCTGATGTCACACGTTTGACTTTCCGTCGGCGCCTGAGAGGTCGACAGGGTGCATTCTCTGTAAAGGAGTCTGACTCATGCCACAAGTGTTGCTTGCTCCTCAGGGTGGCACTAAGAGCTGGATGCCGCTTGACCACTGTCGTGTCATCAGAGTCACTGAAATTTGCTGTCAGCACCTCACGGCAATCCTTGACAGCTTCGTCCAAGCTCGACTCTGAGGCCTCACTGTAGCAGCAGGCATGTTCTGCCTGATGTGTGAAGTCTGAGCGTCGTTTACGACCCCGTCTCTTGCGAAGCTGACGCCGCTGATGACGTGGGCTTAGGGCCATCTCTTCCCATAGCTCGTCCAGTTTGTTCTGCTCTGAAGTCTGCTCTAAAGCTGAGGCCAAGTCATGCACCAGTTCATCCATCGGCAATGCCTACTAAAAATGATAACAATTAGCACCAGACATAAATACTGCTACCAACACATTTCTGGATTGTAGTACGCTATACCCTTTGTAACATTAAAGGAATTAAGACACTTACTTTGAAGTTACCTGGGAGGACCCAATGCAGAACAACTGCTACTTCCTGGGCTAACACTTCTTTTTGCAAGGGTTAAATCCCTCTTCTAGCCATGGTGGCACAGATCTCTCTCTACTGCAGCAGTTGGGTTGAGTGCTCTGTGTCTGAAAAGGCCTTAAGGTTCACCTTTTGTGTTGAAGCAGCATGCTTAATTACATATCCCAAAGGGTATGAAGCCGGCAACTAGTTTTTGCTACCTGGCATCAGTGAAGCAACAGAGAAGGATCAGCCTGCTTGACAAACAGATTGAGTCTTCCAAAAAGTAGACCAGCAGCAAAGCTGGGAGTAAAACAGATGGTAAAACAGGTATTTTGCAAGCCAGCATCACTTCAGCTGTAAAGCAAGGAGCGCGGGATCCTGGCTCCTTAGAACAGGGTGTAGGAGACCAAGCTCCAACTCCTACTGCCGAAAAATACCATCCCTACACCTCAGGCCTGTCAGTGTGTCAATCCCAAAGTCCTGGCCAAACCCCTCATCTCACAACACCCCTCTCCCTACCCGTGTCTTGCAGACGTGGGATTTCTCTCCCCCCTGGGCTCAGAAACACCCGCACCTCCAGCCCGCTGAACTACCCACCGCAGCAGGCCGCCTCCCTCAGTCCTCAGCGACCCGGCCGCACCAACTCCCTCCTCTAGGGAGACGCCGCTGCTTCTGCCCGACCCCCCCCCAGCTTCACCAGGAAAAGCCGGGAAATCTGCCCTCACCACCCCGGACGCGCAGCCTCCCGCCGGGCCCCTCCACGACCCCGCTCACCGGCCAGCGCCCCGCCCCGCTCCGCCAGCCCCGCGTCGGAGCCGCTTCCGGCCTCCCCGGGCCACTTCCTCCGCCCGCCCCGCCCCGGGCGGGGCCGCCGCGCCGCCGCCGAGCCCCGCCGGCCCGGCCGGGCCAGCGCCGCCCCGCCCCGGGCACGGCCCGCCCCGGGCACGGCCCG